TGTTTGGTGACCTGTTAAAATTTCTAACAGTTTGGCTAATTTTCGCTTATTCGTTTGTATTCAACAGAAAATTGGTTTATCTAGGACATCATTTATTGTCATCTTTATAGAAATCTTTTAATAAAAAAAAAAAGAAAGAAAAACAGTTCTCTGGAAAACTTTAATATGCACTTCAATCAGCTCTGGGTAGAAGGAATTGCTTGAAAGAGGTCAGAAGATGGCGGAACATAAAAGCAAATTTGTTTTATTCAATAAAGATAATATCAAATGTTTTTCTCATTCGCTTCATTCTTTAGAAACAATTTTCAAAAGTTCATTTGTTGTTGAAACGTTTATTCATTTCCATTTCCTTCAAAATCTGCCAAAATTCTCAGCCGATTTAAAACCGGAGATAATCGACAGAACAAAGAAGAAGCTATGACATATTGTCTTCCAATTATTTTATTCAAGTGGAAAACTTGTGTGCTGAATAACTATCTTTACAGAAAACAATTTGTCTGAATTCGGGCAAAAACTGAATGAAAGGAAGAACTTTCAGCAGAATTTCTTTTTTTGCCATTCCTTTGGCGAAACTCCAGATTATTTCAAAGATTTTTCCGACCATAATTGATCATGCAGCAAAACGTTTTACTTTAATTTTCAAATGTTTTTGTATATTTTCTAAAATTGTCCTTGCTCTCGTACTATGGCGCATCCAGCCAGCAATAAATATTTCTCTTACACGAGAGACTATAGCATCAACCATTTATACTAGAGGCTATAGTATTAGTTCTTTATATCAGAAGCTATATAACTTGAAAAACGCATCTTCTAATATTATAAAATACGTGATAACGTGATAGGACATCCAAATACATAGATTTAATTTTTAGCGAAAGATGTCTTCCAAAAGCTCAGCTATGTATTAAAAACAGTCATATTTTGTTAGAAACAAATACAAGAACTAAACTCTTATATAATATCAGTCTTCCTCTATGACAATGTCCTCAAAGATGGAGAAGAGAAATGAGATAATAGAAATGTGGTTCTACAGAAGGATGCAAAATAAGGGTTTGGAGAATTTGACACTCACAAGTGAAGGTGGGAGAGGCGGAGGAAAGCAGCGAGTGTTAATGACAGAACAGGGATTGGGAAGGATAGCGAAAAGAAAAAAAACCTTACTAAGAGGTAAAAAGAGTAGGAAGTTAGGAGAACCATGATCACCCACGGCCAGAAAGGACACGGCATAGAGAAGATGACGAAGTAGAGACAGACTATTAATTAAAACCAGAAAAAGTAAAAAAAAAAAAAATGATAAATAAAACTAAAAATGGAAATTAGGCGCTAAAAAGTTTGAGGAAATGTGTGCCGCCATTTTAAAGAGTGAAGGCAACTCATTCTCTGTGAATTATATAACGAAGTCCGTTTGATAATTCATAAAAAAACGAAATGAGAAAAGAATGTCAACCTGTGGACAAAATCGCATTTGTCTTTGTCCTATATATTGAATCCGAAATAGTTCAGCGACGATAGAAAAATAAAGAAAACACAATCTGCCCGAGCAGGCGTCTGCAACAGAGATTAGCTATCCATGCTAGCAGACAGGCAGATTTAGAAAAGAACGGCCAACCACACACACCCACCACACACACACACACACACACACACACACACACACACACACACACACACACACACACACACACAGAGATATCTATGTATGTATGTATGTATTGAAACTTTATTTTTAAACCGATTCTATTCTACCTAAACAACTGTAAAATTGGCATTTGATTTAGTATCTTGATATTCGCTAATGGCGTTCGTTTTCCGACTTTTCTTCTGAGCTTCAAACTCTCTTCGCCAGCCAAAATAAGAGAAGTGATTCAGCCAAAATTATTAGCTTACATTCCCTTCTAAGTAGATCTCCAAACACACATATCGATGCTGCATCACCAATTCTAGAAGGATCAAACGGTAATAAACATGAAACGATCGATAAAAAAAACAAAAAAAAAACATTTAAAAAAAAAATGATAGACAAAAAGAGAAATTAAAAGTTTAAGATGTTGAACCCCAGGGGCCGAAGATTGTTATTTGATTCTTTTTATTGGATTATTATGAGTTTTTTTTACAGAAAGTTCAAGAGGCTGTAAAGAGGATACATTCAGTTCTATTCATCTTTCGACAAACTCAGAACTTTGTCGATATAGCTAGCTTTTGATTGGATGAAGAAGCTTTCAGCCAATCAAATCGATGATATTTATTAAAGGTGATTGTGGGTAATGTTGGTATGTTGGTGCAATTGAAAAAAAAACACTAATAAAATTGAAGTTCTTGTTTTAAATAATAAAAATCAACCAGACATGTGCTCCCTCTCTCTTATTCTCTCTCTCTCTCTCTCTCATACACACACAGATACGTTAGCAGTGCTTAAGTTTATGAATATATGAGTATAATTTGTGTGTACAGATGTACGCACAAACACGCACATATATGTACATGCATAACTCCTTATAGATATGTGAATTCATGTATCTACAACGTATATATATATATATATATATATATATATATATATATATATATATATATATATATATATATATATATATATATAACGTTGTAGACATATATTTCTGTAGTTCACTGCTACTAACAAGCAGAAATATTTTTTCTGGATGTTGGATACGCTGGCCGAATCGAGGAGTCTGAGTCGAGGAATCTAACTGAAATAATAAAAACGAAAGAATATTAATGTACAAACCAGTGTGTCTGAAGATTTGAATTTTTTAATATTTTTATTGTTCAAAACAAACACACACACACACACACACACACACAAACATACACACACATATATATATGCAAAAACTCGTACGTACTCGTATCAGGAGAACTTTCATCATTCTCTGTGTCTCATGGGTGGGTCGCCCCCCTCACGTGTCTACCTTCTTCAGTTTCGCCATTTTGATTATTGTTGTTCTAACGAATCTTTCTGAAGAAGTGTTTGACGAAAAAATCCCTCGAAAAGAATGCGGTCCATCATTTTGAAAGCCGTACACACGAATAACACGAATAACACGAATAACACACACACACAGACACACACACACACACACACACACACACACACATATATATATATATATGTGTGCGTATGTGTGTGTTATTCATGTATATATATATATATATATATATATATATATATATATATATATATATATATATATATATATATATTAGGAGCTATCACGCTACGTTGGTTTCTATCTTTCAGTATCTTGAATTGATTCCAAATCGTCTGAAGATAATGAAAGGTTAAAACCAAAGGAAGCGCGATTTCCTGTTTTTCTTTAATTCAAAAGCTCGGCATGTTAAATTTTTGTTTTTCTTTTCTTTTTCTATACCTGTATTAAGCACTTTTTTTGTACTACTGTTTCATGATCAAATTCATTTCTGACCAATAACTTTTATATATATATATATATATATATATATATATATATATATATATATATATATATATATATATATATATATATATATATATATATATATATATATATATATGTAGATATAGATGCGTGTATGTGTCTATATATATATATATGTATATGTGTGTGTGTGTGTGTGTGTGTGTGTAAAAAATGTTCTAAGCACACACATATTTGCCCACCTCCCAAGACAGTAGGATGTGACACAAGGATAACTTTAATTTAGGCTGTGTCCAAATGTTTATATATAAGCCAAAAAATAAAAACTGGCCAGTCCCTACGACCATTGACCTCAGACTAATCAATTTATTTTAACCTTTGAAGGAGAAATGATAAGGTTGAGGTGGAAATCGTAGGGTCTAGACATCCCTCAATTCAAAACCATTAACTCCAGCAGAGAGAACTGATACTATATTTTGATCACTGATCGAATGGCAAAGAACTGATCCTAGGTGGAATCTTCGGCAGAAAGTTTGAGCGGCGATATTTTGATCTTAGGCACAAGTGTCAGTTGATGTGTAAATTATCTCATCATTTTTTTACCGTCCCTAATAACTATATCTATCTATCTATCTATCTATCTATCTATCTATCTATCTATCTATCATCTATCTCTCTCTCTCTCTATATATATATATATATATATATATATATATATATATATATATATAGAGAGAGAGAGAGAGAGAGAGAGATGTGCGTCTTGTGTGTGTGTGTGTGAGAAACACATTTGTTTGTACTATTTTGTTCCAGTATATTTTACTATCGTTGAAGCAGCTTTTCATGATTCTATCCTCTGAGTATTTGGTATCTTTCTGTGTGATAAACTGATCTAAATAATTTTTAGAGTTTTCCAATGGAATAATGAGAATTTTTGTAAAGATCGAAATAAATGGCAATCCGATGGTGCCCAGGTCAAGTGGAGACGGTATGAGTGGGGTAGGAAATCGCATCCAAGCTGGTACCAATTTCTGACTCTTCTCTTCAAAGAGACGTCAGGTGTTCTTCTATTCCAGTAAAGAACGAAAAACGTTAGGAATCGTCAGGTACTCGTATATCGACAAAAGTGAAAATTTACATTTAAAGTCGTTCTACATTGAGTATAGGTGAATAGGACTTGATTCAGATTCATCTTGTCAGAACAGTAAAGGTTTAGGATCATCAGATGAAAAAGTCATGATTGTTGTTGATTGCTCTATTAATTAAACAGAGATAGATCAAAGGTACATAGGATAAAAGGAAAATAAAGGGCAGGGAAAGAAAATACAATTCAATTCATTATTGCATAAATTCTTCGAAACAGTCTGTCAGAAGCGACAAAAGTGCTTTTGAAAGAGTCGCGGAAATAAGAGACCTGTAACAGAAGATTTTTTGCTAGGGTCTGCATATTCACTGTTTTATTTCGGTTTTTGTATTTTGCTTAATCTTTAGGTTTACGAACATGGCCACAAAATCTTCAGGTTTACGAAGAGGGGGCCCACAAAATCTGCAGGTTTCCGAAGAGGGGCCACAAAATGTGCAGGTTTACGAAGACGAGTCCACAAAATCTGCAGGTTTATGAACGAGGGCCGCAAAATCTGTAGGATTACTAACAGGGGCCAGAAAATCTGCAGGTTTATGAACGGGGACCACAAAATCTGTAGGATTACGAACAGAGGTCAACAAATCTGCAGGTTTACGAATCGGGGCCACGAAATCTGTAGGATTACGAACAGGGGCTACAAAATCTGCAGGTTTACGTACAGAGGCCACAAAATCAGCAGTCTTACGAACATGGCCATAAAATCTGCAGGTTTACGAAGAGAAGCCAGAAAATCTGCAGGTTTACTAACAGGGACCACAAAATCTGTAGGTTTACGAAGAGAGGACACAAAATCTGCAGGTTTATGAATAGGGGCCATAAAATATGCAGGTTTACGAATAGGGGCCTCGAAATCTCGGCCCTACCGAAAATCAACAATTCAATGAACAAATATCAATAATTTTTTTTTCATGAATTAACCTTGAGTCTGGCAAAAGGCGTTTTGAAGTGTCTCTTATAAAATGTCGGTTTCAAGTTCCACTCTAAGTAATCTTGTGGAATTTAGAGTTTACGATATGAAATTTATATCAGCTGTTTGTAGTTGCTGTGGCAAGAAGGAACTCGTTGACGACAGAACAAATTATATTTAGCTTTCTGAAGTCAGAACGCTAACCACTGCACTGATTCAAAATGGATTTCAGTTTTTTAAAAAAACATTTTTTAGAAATATAAAGAGAAAATTAAAATTCAATAAAATAAAATAAACGATGATTGATAATAAATGCAAATTCAAAGAGTAACTTTATTTTTAAGAGAGAGAGAGAGCGAGAGAGAGATAGAGAGAGATAGAGAGAGATAGAGAGAGAGAGAGAGATAGAGAGAGAGAGATAGGTGACAAGAAAAGGAGAAGACAAAAGCGAAAAAGAAAAAGAGAGAGGAGGAGAAAGTGAGAGAGGGAAATACAAAATAAACAATAAAATTAAGGTTATCATAAAATAAGAGCAGAAAAAGAAAGACATTTAAAATTATTTTCCATTTATGAATGTTTTATGGCGAAAAATTGTTAATAGTTTCTCGAATAATTACATCACAAAAATGATTTCCATTTTTCTAGTCTGTTTTTATTCTCGACTCAAAGTTTCCAAAAAAAGGTTCCTATCATTGATTTTCTGAAAAATATCCAAGATTAACTTTTTTTTTTATAGCGGTGATGTTGCGACAACCATCTCTGAGAAATAAATCCGAGTATAGTCTGAAAAACTCAAATTCCTGAAAATGTGACACTCACTTCCAGGTTGCTAAATACAATTACAAAAAATAAGATAAAAACATCCATTTCATGAGCCTGGATCAATAAGTCTGTAACCTAACACAAGTATTAACTGAAATGTTCAATGTATAATGTTCAAGCTATGGGATTGATGGAGAAACGTTGAAATAAATGCGTTAAAAATTAAAATTGTTCGTGTAAAATAAAAAGTGATTTTTTTTATCAATAAGCAATATTTCCTTTACTAGTTACAATCATGAAAATAATGAATTAAATGTATTTAAATTTTTTAAATTTACTTTTATTTCATATTTCGCATACTGAAAAAATAGCAACGAGAAATGTACATTTTATAAAATGTGTAATTGGACCCAGCTTTGGTGTAGAGATCAACATTTTCTTTGGTAAAAGAGAATGCATGTTCATTCTCTACTTTGAGGTACACTTTCGTCAATAAGACTTTCTATTATCTAAGACGGCGTATATTAATTACATTATTTGACAAAGGGAAATATAGCCTTTATAAAAAATATTGTCAGATTAAACCACATTAATTACTATATATATATATATATATATATATATATATATATATATATATATATATATATGTGTGTGTGTGTGTATTATTGCTTGAACACGTGACACTTGAAGTTACGGTGGTGCTTTCTATCTGACATTACTGGTTATCTTTCTTACACGAGAGTATTGAACGCCTTGTAACATATTTTTATATTGAAGTAGGCTTTCTCTCTCTCTCTCTCAATATATATAAATATATATATATATATACGTGCACGTGCAGGCGCGCTCTCACATATAAATAGGTCAGCAGTATTTACAGCTGTTTCGAAAGAAGCTACTAATAGTGATGTGGATTAGTTTTACTGTTTCCACCAAACAGAAGACGAAATACGACAGACATCCCGATTAGGATTTTGATTAGAAATAAAAACAAATCAATTGCAGCCCAACGATAAGTAAATAATAGTAGTACATCTCTTCATACATTTATGCACCAGAAACGATGGAAATTATATATGTGTGTGTAATTTCCCTCGTTTCTGGTGCATAAATGTATAAAGAGATGTACTATTATTATTTTATATATATATATATATATATATATATATATATATATATATATATATATACTAAAGTATAGTATTGAAGCCGAATAAATTCCAATAACTAAAAAACTAATATTCTTAAAAGAGTGTTCAATACAGAGTAGAGCAAATATAATTTATTCGAAAATTATAACATAAATATGTTATAAAATGACTACAAAAATAGCCATCTTGTTTCAACACTTCTCGTGTCTTATCAAATGATGATGTTGAACGTAGAGCTCTACATTCAGCATCATCATTAGACAAGTGCAATTGTTTTCTGAGATCAATATTTCAGAACAGATTTGATGCCATGCATAGCATCCATATCAAAGTCCATTTCAGGCTATTTAAGAAAATGACTTATTTTTAGCGCCAATCCCCAATGTTCAAAAAGAATGTTCTTCGCTATGACCCACACGATTCAATCGCTATTTGTCTATAGCTGAGAGTTTAGATATTTCAGGAAATGGTATCCATATGAAAGTTTCGATCTGATGAGGCTATTTTCGAACATCACTCGAGTTTTCAGGTTAATGTTTTGGTTTTGTAGCAATTGGCGGTATTGGGCGAAACTACCACTCTAGCGCAGCGTATTCTATGTTCAATTCCTTTTTTTCACCAATACCAAATTTGTTATAAGTGCTCAACATACAAAATTATTTGAAATATTTAATATTTACTAATTCCACATCCTGTATTTTTATGATGGAATCAGGGTCGGTGCCATTTATACGTTTCTCATTTGGAATGGTTTATTTTGAGTTCTCTGTTTTCGGAACACTTGACAGACAATAGGCATATATATTACACACGTAAATCCATATAAAACTCTATTTAAAACATGTATTAAAATATCAAATATACATAGTTGAAAACCCGTATATTCAGGTTCTATCAGTATATTTTCGATATATCTCTTTGTGTTATTGATTAGAGAAGAAAACAAGGTAACAATCGAACGTTTCTAAATTGTATCCCATATTCAACAGATGGTAGATACGTTCGGTTTCCCACATTACAACTTTTTTCGAATAATTTTTATTTAACACATAATAAATGTTTAAATAACTTCTATTTGATACTTTAAAGACTTTTTAAAAAATACATTTTTTAAAATATTAGGCTTTTAAAATACTTTTTGTTTCACACAAGAGAAATGTCTATTTGGTTACCTGCTAATTAAAAGATAATAAACGTTTAAAAATGTCTTTTATTTTATACAGAAATTAAAAAAAAATACTTTGTGTTTCGCGAATCACAAACGTCACCATTTTTCTTTCTATGTCTAATTTTAAATATTTGGATGAATAGAAGCTGAAAACTTGGCGTGCAACTGGGAACTTAGCGTTGAATTACGAAGATGAATTCCTACGAGAGAGAGAGAGGGGGGGGGAAAAAGAAAGAGAGAGTGAGAGATAGAGATAAAGCGAGAAAGAGTTACAGAGAGAAAAAGAGAGAGAAAGAAATAAGGAGAAAGGGGGAGAAAGTGAGAGAAAGAGAGAAAAAGAGAAAGTGAGAGAGAAAGATAAAGAGAGAGAGAGAGAAGGAGAAAGAGAGTGTGAGAAAAAGAGATAGAGAGAAAGATAATGAGAAAGAGATAGTGAGAAAGGGGAGAGAGAGAAAGAGATAGATATAAAGAGAGACTGAATGAAAGAGAGAAAGAGGGAAAGAAAGAGAAAAGGAGAGTTAGTGAAAGAGAGAGAAAGAGAAAGTGAGAGAGAAAGAGTGAGAAATTGAGAGAAAGAGAGATAGAAAGTGAAAGAGAGAGTGAGGAAAAAAGGACGAGAAAAATGAGACAGAGAAAGAGAAAAAAGATAGAGAGAGAAACAGATACAGAGAAAGAGAGAGAACGTGAGAGAGAAAGAGAAAGAAAGAGAGAGTGAGAGAAAGAGACAAAGAGTAAGAGAGAAAGTGAGTGAGAGAGAGAAAGAGAAAAAGTGAAATAGAGCGAAAGAGTAAGAGACTGAGAGAAAGTGATAAAGAAAAAGAGAAAAAGAGAGAGAGAAAGAGAGAGATAGAGAGTCTGAGAGAGAAAGCGAGATAGATAGATAGATAGATAGAGAGAGAGAGAGAGAGAGAGAGAGAGAGAGAGAGAGATGTAGGCGGAAACGCATACTTTGTAAAGAAATGTGAGAAAATACAAGAGAGACTCATTGGAACATATGCACACAACCAAAAGCATAAATTAACGCAGGCATCGTGGAGAGTAAGTTATTAATGGTAAATATGCCTGTCGTCGTCGTCTTCTTCTTCTTCTTCTTCTTCTTCTTCTTCTTCTTCTTCAAGTGATGGATTTCATGATTTTGTCTCTCGGAATCTTACGGATGTGGCGATTTCGTTATGGTATGATTTATAGAAAAGCAGATCTCATCAATTGCTAGTGGATGGTAATATTTTTAGGTAGTTGGGTTGAAATTCAGAGACAAAAACTCAGATTACTGTAGAATGTTTGTGGAAGCTAGAATTTCTTTTCGCATCGTACTAACGTACCCAGGAAAGCGTGGATCCCTTACCTGCTTCACCTATGGTAAATATCAAGGCCGGTCGATTATTATATCTAGTAAGGTTCATTTAGCAAATGGGCCCCGTCAAAAAAAAATCCTCACTGGATACTGAAATCACAGTAGCAGCAAGTAGATTGGTTGCAAACCTATAAGGAGTCTATACAAATAAATAACTTATTCTTCCATGTGCTGTGTCCCTTCGGGGGTGGGCGATCATAGTCCTACACAACCTCCTATGTCTTATAGCCATTGCCAATGTTTGCCCCGCATACCCTGTTCTGCCATGTATCCATAAGCTCGTTCGTTAGGTGGCCTACTGGCTTGTTCTGTCACTCTTGCCTTCGATAAGCCTTGTGAGTGTTAAATTCTTCAAGCCCTCCTTCCTCATTATGTGCCCAAGAATTGTCACCTCTCCCCCTGATTCTGAGTATAAGAACCGTTTTTGTAACTTTGAGTCTTACCACATCTATCTATCTATCTATCTATCTATCTATCTATCTATCGATCTATCTATCTATCTATCTATCTATCTATCTATCTATCTATCTATCTATCCAGTGTGGTTTTTGTGTATCTATGTCGATAGATGTACAGACTGTGGCTAGTAGTGAGATTCATATGTATACCTAATTTTCTTTCAAGGAATTTATTTTTGGCATCTTTAGAGGAAAGAAAAACACATACACAAGTGCTTGTACACACACTACAGCTAACACACGCACACATGCACGCGCACGTACATACACAATCGCAAACGCACGCTCATAAAAATCAATTACTTTACATATAGACATCAAACAAGATAAATATTTCTACCGATATCTATATAACATATATAGTGAGAATCAGTGGATTGTGTAGCGCCAATTACCTTTGTAGCCTGAAGTATTTGACAAGCCAATCATAACTGAACACCGACTATTCTCTTTTAGGATGTAAACTTGTCAACATGATCTCATAGATAAGCAACACCTGTAAGTTGGGTGCACAGCTGTTTCTCCCTTAAATACATATATTGCCGGCCTTTCCCGCTTAGTATAACATAATGACGTGGTTAGCGATCTTATGCCAAGATAGCCGCCATTTAGATGGAGGAACAGATTAAAAATTGGATGGTAATTTGAAAGCTT